AATTATAATAAAACTTTACCTAGTTAAACTACATGCAAATAATATAACACTACAGACAGACCGACTAAATTTTTTATACTTTCCAACAATATGGGTATCAAATGAAAGGACTTTCCAAGAATATGAGGTTTTATAAGTCCTCGATTATATCCAGCGATAACTAAAAAGTAAAAAATAAATTAAAAGTAAATTACTTTTTATAAACACTTTTATTTAAATGCGCTAAAAAGAATAAACTGCTGAGAATGAGTCAAGTGACGCTGAAGAACACATTAAAGGTAATACACATTTCATAAAAATATATGAAATTCTATAGCAAGAGCGCAAGGTCAGACATGTTATTCTTAATGTATTAAAACTTTGGTTCTTTTTAGATGATGAAATCAGGAACTAAGAATCCTATTATGATGATGAAGAAAGTGATGAGGATGAAGATTTATTAAATACTTTAAAGACTTATATTAATAAAAAATATTTTACCCATAACTTTTATTTTCACATCATTTAATTTACATGAATAATATACCGTAAGTTTTCATACTACGACTCTTACTCGCAGCATCTTTCTTCTCGCCTGGCAAGGACTTGTGCTAGCCAGAACCGCCTGGCATTCTACCTACTTACTTTAAATCGCTTAAAGAAACACCTATATAAATTTCAACTTTACAGAATAAAGTTTATTTTTATGTATATATTACACACCTTCCGGTTCGTCTGGCAGGTACTTGTGCTCATCGTAAACGTCTGGCAATATTTTTTTTAAACTTAAAAATGAATAAACTACATTGTATAAAAATTTCAAGCTTGCAGCAACAAGTTTTTTTTTTAATATTTTTTTGACACTGCAGTGACACGTGCAGGGCTGAGGAGTGCCAGACGATGCTTACCGTACTAAGCATGCTATGGCTCATCACCATAAGAATTTATAGCTTTACAGACAGACCGTTACTCGGAGGGTTCAGTAGCTCTCCTACTATAAGTAAACTTATTTACGTTTATTCAAGTCGGACCCAACCTATTTTGTTAGTGAAATAGTTTTTTTTTATTGGATTTCGACATTTTATAATCATGTTCTATTAAACTATTAGTTTATATTAATTAAATTTATTGATTTATCATCAGTTCTTGGTAAGGGGTAATTTTAATTTAAAATTATATCAAACGTTTTGAGATAGTTGAAAAAAAACGTTCAAAGATTCTGTTTTACGCAGTTATATTAACGAGTACAGAAATAAAAGCTGATAAGTTTCAAAAAATTGGTCAAGTGTGAGCTATCGTATGTTAAGAGGACAGCCTTTATTATACCACGAGTAATAAAGAGTCTTTACACTCTTCATAGATCTCTATGACTATAAAAGAGAGTAGTTGACATTGTTAGCTGTTTTGTAAAAACATATTTAGGTCTTGTGTGTCTTTTATGTAAATACCAAATAAAACTATTATTTAATTATATTTCCAACTTTGTTTACGTTAATTGCCCATCAAATATAAAACTTAATATCCTACAAGGTCTTTTAATTGCAGCGATTCATGACGTCTTGCAAAATACACCGAAAAACCTTGTTTCGTAATCTTATTTTCGAGTGACATCCAAAAAAGAGAGGGGGTTCTATGTTCGACTATTTAATATTTCGGATATGTACGTAGTTTTTTTTCCCACCATCTTTTATTGATATAAATTTTAAATATTTACTAGTAGTAGTTACACGAAAAAAATATACTAGAACAATTAACCTAAAACTAAAACCTAAAAAAATATACTAATATATTTTTATTTTAAGCATTATACACTGCTAGTTTAGTATGTAACTGTGAAAACTTTAACTTCATTTTTGTTTTTGCGTTGATATTTTCCAAAAAGTTAGGCTGACTAGGTTTCCAACTTGCTGAGGAGGTGTGTGTAAGCAAATGTGGTGAAATATTGCTGCCCATATGGCAACACCAGGCATATTCGGGGAAAGTGATATTTCATGGAAGTTACGTGCCTTGAATGGCGATGGGGTAAACACAATAGTGTAATGGATATCATATTTTGGTTTTGCCAGTTTTTTGGGGTTCCCTGCCTAATATGCCTTCACTGTCTGCACTCCTCACTCGACTCGTCTGCCGTCTGCTTGGCGTCGGTAGTCATATGGAACCAGGACCGGTGGTCCTGAGGGAGGCATGAATTAATAAATAATTTTGAGTATACTATCGGTCCCGAATGCTCCATTCGGGGCCGATAGTATAGAGCCATAGGTCTACTTGTAGAAAATTAGCTAAATCTCAATTCAACTAGATTTAACCCATAGAAAAATGTCAAAACGTCAATGTTAAAAACATATTTTTCTAGTTTTAGTAAAATTGAAATAAATCTCTTTTCAACTACAACTAGATCTAGTTGACATTTTTGTGTCAAACGTCAATGTCATTTTGACATTATTGTATGGGCTTTATCGAGTTTTAGTTGAATTGAGGTTTAGCAAAATTGCTGCATCTGGACCTATGTAATTCAAAGCACTATAAATATAATTAAAAATAAATACCTCTTTAATAAATATAAATCATCAACAGTATACATAATAATATATTTGTAGTATTGTTTTGTTAAACATCTAAAACAAAACAATAAAGAAATGGGTAATAAGATTGAAGTTTGCCATTGCTTCTCTCTTCGTCTAGACAGGGAAACAAAATAGCACCAAAGAAATAAAAAAAAAGCAAGTGAAATCGAAGAAGATTAATAAAAATATATTAACTACTAATGTGAAAGTTTGTATGTTTGTTACTTTACTCGAACACGCAAAAACGACTGAAAGATTTTGAATGAAATTTGGCACACTTGGATTAAGACATGGGGTACTTTTAATCCCGGAAAAAATGTTTAATATTCTTGTGGGATTATCAAATAACCAACTGTACGCGGACTATGTAGCTAGCGTGCGGAAACTAGTATTTTTGAAGAAAGATTTGAGTTCGTTTGCACCTGATGCAAAGCAATGATGTGGTCTTAGCTGGGGCACGTACACTCAATTAATGTTCATGCTATGCATCTAATTTTAATCATGCTTTAAAAAATAGGGGGCCTCCATACCATCCATCTAATACGACCTTTTGTTTTGCTTTGTTTGATTTAGTTTTTAATAATGTATGTAAGGCAACCATTGGTTCATTTACCCTAAACTGTTCAGTTTTTTATCAAAATAGCTTTTTCTTGCTTGATTAATTACGATGCATATAATCATTATCTTTTAAGGTAACTCCATGTGTGACTGACTGGACAACGGTTAGGAAGCCCTTGTGTGCAAGTTTGACTAGCAGTCGGCTGTTTTTTTTATATTTTCATATTATAATAGTAAATTATGAACTATGCGTGAGATTCAGTGAACATAGTATAATTCAATGATTCCTTAAGATGTAGCGCTCCATTTCTTGGTTGAAGCGTTTAAAAGAACATCTTATGTATAAAATTTTCGTGTCAGAGTGTTTGTAACAAAACTTGTCAGCTTAACCGAATCTTATAAAATTTTGTGTGTATTTATGTGTTAATGTATTTATCATTGGCTCTGTATAATCTACCATGTGATGGTGAATCAAATGACATTATGGAGAAAAACAGCCCTTGCTGTCGAGTTTCTTGCCGGTTCTTCTCAGTACAATGTCTCCCGCTGTAGATTTACGAACCGATGACGTAGCTTCTAGACATTTACGAGAGATTGTACCAACCCAAACCGAATAAATGATTTTGAATTTGATTATTCTACCTACTACATCGCTTTAGTGAAAATAATTTAATGGTAGCTTAAAGTTCAAGGACATAATTTAGTCAAGTAACAAGTACCTAGTAATATAGAGGTTTACGAAATATTCTCAAACATAAAATAAAGTTCGTCAAGTACCATTTTCATTAAAAATATTAACTCCGTTACCCAATGGAGTAGTAAGTAAAAAAAATAATCTGCGATATTTTAATAAAACTTATAAGTACGAGTATTTAAACTTATTTTTTATAAGTTCACACAGAAGAGTCAACTTGCTTCACATTTGAATAATAACGATTAATTTAGTATAAAGTTCTGGGAGCGATTTACATTTCCCAAGCTCACGTTTCGTTAAATTATAAATTATGTACTTTAAGTCCTCCCTTCAACATATAAAGTTAATACTGTTTCTCGAATTTATTTAAGTTTACTAATCAATCCCCTTAACTTATGTTGAGTATTATTTTTACATAGTTTTGTGGTAGACTGGTCATGTTTGTAGATATGTTGTAGGGTGTTTTAATAAATTGAATTTTCGCGAAAATCCTTCGGATTTTGCAAAAAGGGGGAATAATTAGACATCGGCGATGACATTTGATTAAGAAAACTTACTGAAAAATATAGAATTACTGCGAGTCCGCGAGTCACCTCAGTAAGATTGTGAAAATAATCGCTGGCTTATTAATATAAATATTCTCGGGGTTTTAGCTTCTTTGGTTCACTTCACAGTAGGTTAGGTTAGTGTAGTGGTGAAAAAAAAATTTCGTTAACAGTAAGATTGAACAATGTCATCGCGATTGTCTAATAGGGATGATGACTAATTTTTTTTTCTTCGTTTATCAGGTAGATTATCAAGAAGTATTGGACACGTATTTTTTCTCTTTTCACATAATATAAACATTGCAGAGATATATTGATTTGAAAAGTCGCATGACGTCACGTTTGAGTACACTTATAAATGAAAATTCACTCAAAAGTGACGTCTCGAGCCCCTACTCCCAAACTTTGACGCGCTATAACTTTGTCATTTTTTGGTTGATTGCCCAAAGAAAAAATACATGTCCATTATTTTTTGATCATCTAACTGACGGACTCAATAGAATTTCGTTTACTGTACCCCGTCATCACTCCTATTATCCGTGTTTTCGCAAAATCCCTAGGATTGTCGCGAATATTCGATTTATCAGATCATCATACGTTGGGACTAACTAAAATTGGTGTATATGTGGTAAATAAATAAATTATCCTTTATCTTTGCAGGAAATTGCACTTTTCGGGGAGTTTTCTATACGAGAGACTTTCTTATACTTCGGGATGATAGCTGGGATGTCTAAGGAAGAGATTGTCAAGAATGCCAAGTTTCTGGAGACATTTTTGGAATTGCCAGATCCGCAGAGGTGAATTATATAATCATTTATAACTTAAAATTTGATGGGGCACTCCCCATTAACGCAATTGGTCGACGGTTGTAAAATTTGTCAGTCGGTAATCTGATAAGAGACTGAAAACAATATAATTACGATGCTTCGGAACGCACATCGAGTCGTTGATCCAGGCTGCGTCTACAGTTATATAACTCGCACATATAGTTAATTAAATTCATAAATGTCATTATCTAAAATTAACAGTAGAGTGCATTAAAGAACAAGGATCGTAACTCAGCGCTAATGCTTTGTATAATGACAATGGCGCACTCTTATGCACAGTTGATAAATAAATAAAAAACCTTTAAGCATTCGATGAATTTACATAAAGGAAATATTGGCATTGATAACTAAATTTTAGATATTTTGACATATTTATCTTATAATTATAAAATTCTCGTGTTAGTATGTTAATACTCCTCTGAAAATCTTTGACCAAGTTTCATGAAATTTTATATACATCTTCAGTAGGTCTGAGAATCAGATACTATACATTTTTCATACTATGTATAATGTGGCCTAAAAAATGTATTTTTACACTAAATTTTCACCCTTCTACCACTAGCCCCTATTTTTATGGCGGTACGAAGTTCTAGATCTTATATCTAGACTTATAAGAACTAGATCTGCGAACTGTTGATGCTGCACTATAACCACACTGGCCGCATATGGTGGCTTGTAATCTAATGACTGTGTACTGTGCTCATATGATTGAATAGATGATGTTTTAATCTTGTTTTCTAAAGTAAGTCAATAAGCATACGACCTCCTTGCAAACAACTAGGTACTATAATAAGTTGAGAAGTATCACCATTGGGCTAAGTTACAATGCCATTGCTCGCACAATGCCAATCCCGGATCTCAACGGAATCATAAAATATTTTACCCGATGACTTGTTCTATACCCTTCGCAATATCTAAACTGGTTTTCTATGCAATTTTGAATAATAATAGAAATAATTATATTATTATGATGTGTGCACGCGAAATGAAGAGAGATATATTAGCGAAATATTCCGTTCGAGTTGGAACGTTTGCATGCGGAAGTAACTACCACCTTACAGAAGAAACCAGTAGGTAAGTAGAATAAAAGTACCTACCTTTTTTGGTGGTATTGAGTTTTTGTCGGAGAGTTTTTTTATGATTATGCAGGCAAACGCACTGACAGTCCACCTGATGGTAAGTTGTCACTGCCGCCCGTGGACACTTGCAACACCAAGCGTACCACTTGTGCCGGCTCTGAAGGAAAAGGTTTTTCTAGCCTTTTGAAGGCGGTCATATTATCCAGATATTGCTGGTATGCAAGAAAAAGGAACGCGCGTAATATAACGCATGGTGCTGGAACGCCAAGCGTCCAGACGGTGGGAGTGAAACCTTTCTATGCGGCGTGAGATATTTTAGGATGGGTTCTAAGCCAAAAAGCCAATTCGAGAGTGACACTGTAGGCTCTGGCAGTTGCTTACCAATAGAAGAACCGTATGATAGATTGTCGTCATCTTTTTCACAACACCAATACCTATTTTTTTGCAGACTTGTCAAGATCCTGTCAGGTGGACAGCAAAGGCGTGTGTCGTTCGCTGCAGCCCTCATACACAAACCAGAACTCTTGATTTTAGACGAGCCCACTGTTGGGGTGGACCCTGTGTTGCGACAGAAGTAAGTTACCTACTTAATAACCGATCGAATAAATATTATAGCTATTAACGGGATTATTACCATGTACCACACATAGGTAATACATACATACATGGTAACAATCCCGTTAATAGCTATAATGTTAGTGACCATGAAAGTTTAGAACAATATATCGATCGAATAAAATTGTGTTAGCTGGAACCTGTTTTTACCGTCATGTCTTATTTCTTTTAAATCCTGTGAGGTGTTTGAATAAAGAATAATTTTCATTATTTATGCGAGTTTCACAAAGCTAGCGAAATTTCTATTGCCTTAGCGAACGTTTTACCTAATTGCTAGTTAGTTTAGCTTTTTTCAGCTTATCGTTCCTTATCCTCCTTCTCCGCTTTTTCCTAAATTTAAAACGCCTACGCGCCTGCGATCCTACAAAATATAAATAAGTATTCTATTTGCGAAGTGTATCAACAACCAGTTTCAGATACGCTATGTGAATTTTAAAGTACAACCTCGTGTACAACCTATCTAAATTCGAATAAGTGTATCTACGAAATGAACCTTTTAAGCTACAAAATTAATCATTTTTTTTGTTGACAATGTATTTCAATATTGTTCCATTGTTGTAAAAGTTATGTTTTCATCTTTAGTATAATGATATCACCGTCATGAAAAAAAATATAAAAGTCGTCGAAAAGTATGTATACGCATGACTTCCGAACGGCTGAACCAAATTGAATATTTCTATATATATTGCGTTCCTTATTGTAAGGACAAGGCTTGCATATTTAAAAATAATGAGATTTTTTTTGAAAAAATAATGCAAGATTTAAAAAAAATAATAAAGTTTGTTATTCCGCCTTCTTCCGCTATTGACAACTCACGTCAAATCTGTAGAGCCATGTAATGAACTTTCAGCTGGCAGTTGAGAGTTACAATGCAAATAGCTGTGTTTGTATCGAAAGGATAGCTTTCATTACCTCCAAATAATTATAAGCGGTACACAGTTCGTCGGGTCGGCTAGTACTAATATAAATATGTTTTGTTAAATAAAGTATTTTTATTGATAAATTTAATTACATAAAATTAAAAAAAAAATGGATTGACATGCGAGCTGAGCTTTTTTTAAGCAACTGTTAAGTATAACGAGGCAGGTAATTATTAAGACAATGCGATCTGGCTTCCCATATGTTAGTGGCAGCTTTTTTCTTTTTCTAAAGAGTTTTCAATTTCATGCGAGTGTAGCTTAGAGCACAGCACCTCTCAGAACCATAAAAATATTTTTTGATTTTTCCCTGAAGCGGTAATGACTTTGTTTCAGCATATGGGACTACTTGGTGGACATCACAAAAGGACGACGCACTACAGTTATAATCACGACTCATTACATCGACGAAACTAAACAAGCCAATGTTGTAAGTAAACTCGATATCGATAGGTAATTTATAAGTACTCTTAGGAACCGAATTGATCGCACTTTCATAACGACAGGTAAGAATACGCATTGAAAGAGAGTACGCAATTGATATCGACAGGTAGTTCATACTCTTTGGAACCAAGTTGGTAGGCAGGGATTTCCTTCCACGATTACGCTGCTGTGGAATAAGCTCCCTCTTGAGATTTTCCCAAAGGAATACATAATGAAGAAGTACCAGGGTCCAGCGTAGCTACTATATTTGTTTCTTGTTATTTGACGTGTGAGCAGATAAACATGTAAAACGTGTTTTTCTTCAAATCAGATTTTACTATTAGCCAACCGAAAACAAAGCGCAAAGTACAGAGCGCAGCAAAAAGCAATGGATATAATTATGCCGTGGTAACTCTCTGCAATCTTAATTTATTGGTTATCAACTGCCACCGGTTAAGTTTAAAAGGCCTTTTAGTCAATTATTTTAGCACAGTTTCTTTTTGAAAAATATTATCTATAATATAAATTATTACATAGCCAATCAAAAAGGAATATCATCGTCACCATTAAGATATTATTAACAATATAACAAATTCACACAACCATGCATTTTTTCCGTAATAACATGATATCGAGCTTTTTATTCAAGCACGGAAGCATTAGTTCTTTATTGAAAAAGCCGGAAAGAATCGTTATATACAAAATTGCGCCGCTGCCATACTGATCGGCGCGTAGTTAGATTTGCACTAGTATATATTGCATTTTACGGTTGATGTTTCGTGTCTTATAAAATAACTATTAATAAACTAATTATAAAAATATATACATATTTCAGTAGTTCAATGATAGTGCAGTCATTGAAGCATTATTGCTCCGAATTTTTTTACTGTGAACCGAATTTCATACAATTTTGGAATTAGGTTCATCTTACTCTTAAAGTAAAAATGATTTGAACTCCGCAACCACCCTGAGGGTGGCTGCCACCGCTTCTCGGGGGTGAATTTTGTTTTTTTCTAAATAACCTCGGATATCGATAGAAGGCCTAATTTTAAGCAAAAAATCATCTATAAAGTTTTTCAAAAAATCCATTACTTTTCAAGTTATTGGCCATTGAAAATTCGCAATTTTTTCACGTTTTTCATCGGTTTTTTCCAACTAAGCAACTATCTCCAAAAATATACATTTTATCGAAAATTATATGAAAAAACAAAATTGTAGCAGGTAATACAATGAACAATTTGGTTTTTTATAAAGTATTCTAAGTGCAATATTCAGCTAGATATTAAAGATCAAAGCCGTTTTTTATTTCGCCTGAAATTTAATCGATGTGGTCAATGCCATCTAACGACGAGCAGATGCATTTTATGCATTCTAATACAGAAGGTTTTTATAGTGCTTGAAATAAGCTTTAAAATGAGCACTATTAAAAGTCTTTTGCACGTAAAATAAGTGAGCTGTATTGCAAATAAGGGGAGCATCTAATGTTTTTTCTTTTAAATCAATGGGTTTCATAAGTGCCATTTCCACCAAAATTAAAATTAATCGTATTCCGCCTAGAATTAACTTTATTATAAAGAGTTTGATAGATAGTATCAGTTTGGCTGCTTCAGGACACATATTTTTCAAGGGGTTGAAAATGATTTTAATATGAGGTAATTATGTTAGAAAATACTTTACAATTTCACCACTTACTATTAGACATGTTTTCTAGCGATAAAATGGCTCAATGTCAATTTTTCCATTAAGGGGTTGTTTACACCCCTTAAAAATAATAGGCGGAGTTCAGATCATTTTCACTTTTGAAGTTAAGAGTAAGATGAGCCTAATTCCAAAATTTCATGCAAATCGGTTCACAGTAAAAAAATTCGGAGGTAAGACCGTATTTTTCGCTTCAATGACTGCACTATAATGGTAGATTAGTTTTATGAAAGTTTTTGATAGTAATTCTATTTAATTCAATATCAAAATACGTGGTAAACCTGCATTTTTTTATGGGAAAAATCACGGAGGTTAGATGTTTTTTTGATAATTAATGAGATGTAAAATCAAAATTCTAATACATTATGTTACAACAAAAACATATTTCTAATGTAGTAGTAATTGATTTCATCTAATTTATTGACCATTATTGAGAGATTGAGGCCTTTGAAGTTGTGCATATTATCGTTTTTTCCGTAAACTAGCTGCAGAAGAAAGATCAGTACAAAAAAAGGAAAGTAGTATTTGCAAATATTCTACATTAACTTACAATAGGAAGAATAAATCTACTGTTTACTTCTATTGGAATGGTATAGTCAAAATCTTTTCTAAGGAGGTAAATGAGGCACTCAAAAATTACGGATTTTTGCAAATAATGTGAAAGGGCTCTTATGTATCAAGCAGATAATGACTTTACAGAGTCACTTCCTTAGCTTCTCCCCATTACTGTTCCGAATGGCAATATGAATTGTGTTTAACTTGTGATTTCATACAAAAAAATCGAATTTGACCGAGTAAGGGTGGATTCGACCATACAAGAGTAAATCTTAATCTTAGAATAAATCGTCAGTTAATCGAGAGTAAATCAATTTTACATTTTACCATCTACAATTCTAAGAATAGTGGGCATATTCGGGAATTGTTACTATACCGCCCGTTCGCACGGAATAACAGAGCTGTTCCTAGAATAATTTAATGGCGTCAGTCAGTCCAATCATCTGATTTCTGTCATTTCACAAATATTTATTCTGTGTTTTAATTTAAAGTCAACGCCACGCACTAAATTAATAGTCTGGCATTGTATTATGCAACGTTTAAACGTTGATTGATGATAGTGATGAGGAAATTATACCTAGACGTCCAAGATGGTTAAAAGAAAGAAAAGACTTATTTGAATATTATGATGACCATGATTATGCGATGAGGTTTCATTTGAGCAAAGAAGCCACTTTGTTTCTGCTATCGAAAAGTGAACGTAACTTAGTATATATTTCCGACCGGTAAGAGTACATTCTTTATACATGCGTAGTTTTTTTTGTGCCCCTTTAAGTGCACTCTGACCGTAGATAGTGCCGATGTTACTTTATTTACCTACCTACGTAGGTACACTAGAGTCTGTGCGGAAAGAGAATGGGATTTAGATTGGAGGGCGCTGTAGTGCTTTTCTACCGTATTTGTAAGGTTATACTCCTTTTAGACATGATTAAATATAAAAAACCTCAAGAAATCACACCACAAACAAATCCGTATCAATAAAAAACTTTGACGTTTTACAGATTGCTGGGTTTGATTGCCAAATAAAAATCTTAATGTTAGTTCCGTTTTTCGCCACGCTCATTCTCTTTCCGCACAGACTCTAGCTACAGCTACTTTTTCACACTATAATACGGCAAAATCGAGTTGACATGATGTATGCTCTTACACTATCCCGTTGTAGAACAACATTTATTTGCCGGGTTTTATTTTCGTTCACCATTCACTCTGCTATTCGCGTATTGTTATTCCTAGCGCACGTATACTATCGATTACGTGGAGAAACGACTATAGATTTACTCGAGATTTAAATCATGGAATAGATTATTCCTGGTATAGTTACTGGTGTATAAAGGACAATGCCAGAAGTTCTATAGAGGTTTAACCCACCCGATAAAAATGGTGTACACGAATGCGATAAATGATATTTCATAGCTGTAATATAAGGAATCAAAATAGTAAAGTTGCAAATTCTCTAGAAGCTGTGGTTATTGAATAATATACTTACAAAGAGTACAATTATCATGCGTTTCTGGAGCTGCAATTTGAGCAGAAAATTGGAAATTTTATAAATTATTCAACAGTGTCCGTATTGTAGCTGATAGTGTATAAACGACATGCCTTTCTTTTCTATCGACACATAAATAACAATTTATGCATCTCAACATGGTTCCAAATCACAAACGACAATGTCGTCCAAATCCTTTTGTTTGACGGAAATGTCAATCAAAAGGATATCAATCCAGAATAACGTTTACTTTCACATAGGTACTACTACATAATAATGTGTATGCGCATAAAAAATACAAGGTACTATAATCGTCAAACTTTTTTATAAACAGAAATTATTTATATTTATAACCGAACTGTTTATTTTATCCATATTATTAAAAAAGAGAACGATATTTTTCAAAAACTTGACGGGCATTTTATTGTTTGTCGTGAAACAAAACGCATATGCCATGTTTTCTTTCTTCTCCTAACGGAAACAGTAGATACAAATTATTTTAATATTTATTTCGTATCCGCCGCTTTTACAAAGTAATAATTAAATCGGTACGAGAAAAAAAGTCGTATATATTTTTTCATAAATTTTATATTACTGTATATGGTGGGTCAGAATCTGTCATTGTCATTTAAGTTTGGTTGAATCCACCCTTAGTATTGCTGCATTGCCAGCTCATACATACAAACACACATACACACACATCCCCCTATAATGCAGTAAATATTTAGATCATCATAGAATAGATTTTCAAATAGGTTGAAATTGTTTCTTACTAGATTAAACCGAACTTGCTTTATACTGCCTAATGAAACTTTACAAATAGAATTTCCGAGAAAACCCGTAGAAGAAATTTATCGGAACTCTCACTTAAAAAGTTCATTAATTAAAAGAGTATCGGATAAGTTGCTAAACGGATTGAGCGGTCTACTTTAAGTCTTCAGTGTAACAAATAATTTGTTAATAACTCGTGTTAAAGTTGTTCTCGTAATATTCACGAGTACAACTTTGGCCAGTGATAAAAAACACACACACTCGATTTAACGTAAAAAACATAATTTATTATTATTAATTAAGGATTTCACAAAAAACAGAGCTCCAATAAACAAATAAGCAAGTTCGGCTCTATGATGAAAAACCTTTTCATCCCACCACCTCGGAAAGTGTAATTTTGCGCTTCGAAATCTGGCTGGAAAATTCTATTTTATTCGCTTGAGCGGCAAAGTAGATTTGAATTTAGAACATCACATATAATGAGTACTCAATATAAT